AAACTCACTCCTTTGTAACAACTAAGGCAAAAAATTTAATTAATTCAGAAAATCTTTTCAGGACCCCACCTTGATGTTTCGGGACCCCACTTTGGGTCCCGACCCCAACTTTGGGAAACACTGGAAAGCAGGTCTCAGGTCCTGTGACACATCTTCGATTTATTTTTCCAGTTTTTTAAGACAAATTTCAGACACTTTTTACTTGTTGTGGCAATTGTTTAGACCTGACACTTACTTTTCTGTCTTCCTCTTTTATTTTTAAGCACAAAATGCTGCCGTAGTAAAGAACAAAAACTAAATAAAATGAATTTAAAAAAAAGGTCTAAAATCAAATTTTTAGTTTTGATTAGAACCACTTTAAAGTATTATATAAAAAAGTTTGACATCTTGGAAATAATTTGTGACATGAAACTATTGCACAGCACTGTAAAACTATGGGCACATTGGTTTGGTATCTGCCTTCGAGACAAAGTATTGCCCAAAACACTCGTATATAATACAGCTGTTTTATAAAACAAAAAAGATTAACTTACTGAAAAAATGCAGATATAAGGATTCCACAGAGAAGGAGACAGACTTTAGAGGGCAACTCTTCTACACAGTTACTGCATGTGTCATCCTTCTCCATCAGCACTCTAAATAAAACTAAAAATCTGAACAAACTGTTCCAACCGGGGTCTCTTTATCTGCTAGTCATATTTGGTAGTTACATATTCAGCCTGCAGCTCTGTTTAGAGATGAGGGAGATGCTGTACAATGAGCCCGGTGGTTTATAAAGTGTGTGTGAGTGTCGGTGTGATGGAGGGACAAAAGCTATCTGTACAATAGTTTACAAAATGAAATATAAACACATGACGGTATTCCTGGAGGAGCATTAAAATGTTGTATGAAAGTCTGCATAAATTGACTCTAATCTTGGTGCTCAATAGGTTTCAACATGTCAAACTATATCTGAGCTTCTATCCACAACAAGACTGAGTCAGTTTTCTTTAACAGATTAAATCTTCATTAAATCCACTTGAGATGATTTCATTCTATTTTAACTATCATTTTTCTTGATCAATGTCATGTTCTCTAAACAATCAAATGGTTTGCTCTTTCTTTTTAGACTTAATGGTGCTAATTATTAGGAGAATACCAGTTCAGATGTTTACTATTTAAAGTTCAATACCAGACGGTACATACGGTTGCAGAAAATTTGTTGGTACCATTATAGCTCATTGAGACAATGCTTTGTTTTTCAAAACAAATGATTTAGTTAAAAACAAATGTGTAATGTATATATGCTTGCCTTTAGTATATGATTGAGTAAATGTCATAAATCCTTGAGTAATGGATATTTGTGTTATTCTGGTTTAGCCTCCTTTTTTTGGTTTTCTCTATAGGATTCATGTGTTTACTTTACCAGTCCCTGTATTATGTACTGTACTTCAGTTTAGAATTTATTTTGTGATTTCCTACAGTTTTTTTGTACAGTAGTTAATTTCTATGACACCTGTAATTTATTTTCATTTTTCCCTGTGTGCCATCCATCTACCCTCAGTTGTTCAGTCTCAGCTCCTGCCCCATCCACTCTCACCTGAGCCTCATTTTCAATCCCCACTAAGTGCTTGTTATCTTGTTATTAGTATTTCTTTAAATTAGCTGTGCACCGATCACAGTTTATTGGTCGACATCTGGTCTGTATAAAGTCTGACCTTCCAATTACAATTTTGGTAGATACAGATTTTTTAAAGGAGCAATATCATGTAAAATCAACTTTTTTGAGTTTTATATTATGTTATAATGTTACACTCTCATAAAAAAACATGCCCAAAGCCTTGCTTTGACTCATTCATGAATGTTTGAGAAATCCTGCAGCGTTTTTAGGAAGCCATGCTGAGGAGCAAAA